TGTTCTGGAATGCATTTTCCCCTTACCTGTGTGAGATAGACCTTTCTTGCCAACCTTCCAAGTTTCTTGGGCTAAAAGATTGTTTCACCCTGTTTTTTTCCTGGCTCTGCTGTCCCAGGCTTTGTTTTGGGGCACTACTTTATGGTTGTTTGGAGGTGAATATGGGAGAGTTATGGCAGTTTACTGCTTATACTCCACCATCTTGGGTCTGGGAAGTTCCAAGTGAGCTGGCATAGTGCTTGTAAAGTGATATTAGTAGGGTTTGTGGTTGGCCAGATGGACGTTTCTTCCAGTTTTTCTTAAATATACATTTGTTGCACTGTATATCATGTCATGGAAGTTGACATATAAGCTGAGTATATTGTTTACTTTGTGTACTTCAAAACAAAGATTTTTAAAATCTGTGTATCATATAATTGACATCTTTTATTTCAACAGCAACTCTTACCTACGATACTCTCAGGTTTGCTGAATTTGAAGATTTCCCTGAGACTACAGAGCCTGTCTGGATATTGGGTAGAAAATACACCATCTTCACAGGTAATAACTGTTCTAAAGTCTTGTCTGCCTATGATAATGTTATATTTTGTAGAATAGTTTCCAGCTAATCAGTTTTTGAATATCATTATATCATTTTAAAAGTAAAATTTTTCACAAGCTAGATAATTAATTATGGAAGCTTTGTATATAATGTAGTTGTAATTCAGTGGATGTGTTCAAGATAATATGAGTCCAGAATAAAACACATTACTTATGAAGCTTTGTGAGGGACTTTGTTTTGTGGTTATTTTGTTTTTTTTATTAAGAAGTTATAAAATTCTTTCAGAAAAAGAAGAGATCCTTTCAGATGTGACTTCTCGGCTTTGGTTCACATATAGGAAAAATTTTCCAGCCATTGGTAAGCAAAGCAGTTTAATATACACACAATCATAGTGTTCACGCAGCCTCTCTCTGAACTTATGCTCTATTTCCCTCTGACATACTCGAGCCAGTGAACCTTGCCAAGCCACTTCACGTCTCAGGGTCACAGGTCATTGCTAAGTGCTCAGGGCTGTTGCTTCTGGGGATTTCCTCGTTGTGGGTTCGGAAAAAGAGAGAAGATACATATTCCTGTGCTGGTCTTACTATTTTATTTCTTTCCCCAAGAATACATTTTAAAATACATGTAAAATGTAACAATGTGATAGTTTAAAAAGTATTAATCTTATGTTTTTGAGAACAAGCACTTGTGTGTGTGATCTTCAAAAAACATATTTTCTGCCTGTAGTATACAAAGTGCAACGCCAAGTCCTGGGTGGGATGTTAAGTCAGACTGGTAGCTAGGCTAGAAATGTATTTCATGGCTCCTTCAGAACTGTGGAGTTTCCCATCTCTGAGATAGAGTTTCTTGGATGTTAAATCATAGAACTTTTTTTTTCTGCTGAAAATAAATTTAAAAAAAATTTTTTAAATTAATTTATCAATAGTCACTTCCATAAGCTTTTAAGTTTTAAATTTTTATCCCCCTCCCTCCCCAAGATGGCATGCAATCTAATATAGGCTATACATATACATTCCTATTAAACATATTTTCTCATTAGTGATGTTGTGAGTAAGCATTAGAAGTAATAGGAGGAACCACCAGAAAGAGGAAACAGAACACAGCAGAAGAAAAAAATAGCAAATAGTATGCTTTGAACTGCATTCAAACTCCGTAGTTCTTTCTTTGGATGTGGATAGCATTTTCCGTCATGAGGCTTTTGGAGATGTCTTATACCCTTGTATTGCTGAGAGGGGTTAAGTCTGTCGAAGTCAGTCATCACTCAGTGTGGCTGTTACTGTGTACAACATTCTCCTGGTTCTGCTCACTTCACTCAGCATCAAACCGTATAAGTCTTTCCAGGTTTATCTGAAGTCAGCCTGTTCATCATTTCTTATAGCACAATAGTATTCCATTACATTCATACATCACATTCACAATTATGATTACTATCTGTGTCTTTCTCTCCATCCTTTTCTCCCCCTGTTTATGCTTTTCTTTCTCCTTTCTCCTTTTCCCTCCTCACTAATGTTTTGCTTTTGACTACTGCCTCCCTCAGTCCCATCTCCCTTCTATTAACCCCCTCCCTTTTCTTTCCCCTTTTCCCTCCTACTGCCTATAGGGCATGTTAGATTTCTATGCCTAACTGATAATGTTATTCCCTTCTTAGAGCCAAATCTGATGAGAGTAAGGTTCAAGCAATGCTCATCTCCCTCCCTTCTTTCCCTCCGCTGTAATAGGTTTTTGTGCCTTTTCCCGTGATGTGAATTACCCTTGTCTGCCTCCTCTTTCCTTTTCTCTCGAGAGGACATTTTCTTAGTTAGATCAGATTAATTTACTTACTTGGATCCATTTAACCCACTTGATTAGATTTTTTTCATCATTACATCAAAGTCAGTTTATACTCACCCCCTTTATGTATACCCCTTTAACATGGTGTAATAACAATACAGTTCTCAAGAGTTACAAATGTCATCTTCCCTTGTAGGGATGTAAACACTGCCCTTATTAATAACGTGTTGTTTCTTTCTGTCCCATTTACCTTTTCATGTCTCTCTTGAGTCTTGTGTTTGAAGATCAAATTTTCTGTTGAGCTCTGGTCTTTTTATCAGGGAGGTTTGGAAGTCCCCTATTTCGTTGAATATCCATCCCATCTCCTCCCCTGAAAGATCATGCTCATTTTTGCAGGGTAGTTGATCCTTGGTTGTAATCCAAGCTCCTTTGCCTTATGGAATATCATATTCCATGCCCTATGGTCTTTTAATGTAGAAGCTGCAAGGTCCTGTGTAATCCTGACTGTGGTTCCATAATATTTCAATTGTTTCTTTCTGGCTGCTTGTGGTATTTTCTCTTTGACCTGGTAATTTTGGAATTTGGCTACTGTATTCCTTGGTGTTTTCAATTTGAGATCTCTTTTGGGAGGTGATCAGTGGATTCTTTCTGTGGCTATTTTACCCTCTGGTTCTAGGACCTCAGGGCAGTTTTCCTTTATATAAATCATAGAACTGTAATCTTCTAGAATTGATCTCCAAATTTCAAAATTGGAAGGTACCTGAAAGATAATCTAAGCCAGCCATCTCCATTTTAACAGATGAAGACCAGAGACACTGATCATATCCAAGGCCACACAGGGGCCAGATAGCGTTCTTTCTAAAACCTTGTGACTGTTAATGGTCACATTAGATTCTTTTATTAAGTTCTTGATTCTGATAAAGTATAAAGACTTCTCTTTGTCGCAGCCAAGAAAGAGGTGGAAAAGCACTGGACCTGAGCAGGAGCAGTTTGTATTTCACTGCTGCGCTGACCTTTAGGGAGAGGCATTTGGGACGGTAGTATAAACATAGCAATGAACCTTTGTGGACTTCTTACACCCTTCTCCTCTCCCCCTACCCCCATCTGTGTGATCTGGTGACGCTGGCCCCCTCGTTGTCCCCACAGAAGACACTGACTCTGAGCCTTTTCATGGGCTGTCCTTCATGCCTGTTCATCCTTGTCTCCACCTCCCAGCTTCCCTGGCTTCCTTCCAGTCTCAGCTAACGTCCGCCTCAGTGCTAGGGTCTTCCCTCTGTGGATCAGCAGCAATGCCATGCTCAGTTATGAGCATGTTGTCTCCCCCTACACTAGTGGGAGCTCCCAGAGAGCAAGCCTTGGCATTTGCCTTCCTGCCTATCCCCCGTGCTTAGTCCAGCACCTGCATACAGTAGGCACTTAATGAATTAGCTGACTGATCTAGGTGACTGACTGCAAATAGACAGAGAGAAAATGCTGGCAAGCTTTTGACAAGGGGGAGTGTGGATTAGAGCTGGAAAGGGACCTTATAGGCCCTTTAGTCCAGCCACTGGTTTGGTACCTCAGAGACTTGCTCACAGGGGGGGCGGGCCTACCCTAAGGGGGCTGGGCTTTGTCCTCTTGCTGAGGGATTTGCATTTTTGGGGGCTGAAGGCCTGCAGGAAGTGCTAGGCTCTCCTGGCTAACTTCCTAGATTGTGACCTTAATAGTGCCTGCAGCCATTGTCCTTATCACAAGAGCAGAGAGTGATAGCTAGCACTTAAAGGGTTGTGCTTTACAAATGTTATCTCATTTGATCCTCATCCAGCCCTAGGCAACAGGGGCTGTTGTCATTCCTGTTTTACAAAAGAGCGCATTGAGGGAGGTTTAGGTTAAGTGAGTACCCAGGGTCACATAGCTAGTGTCTGAGGGTAGATTTGAACTCAGGTCTTTCTGACTCTAGGTCCAGCATTGTGCTGCTTAACTAGAAACACTTTGCAGCTTATCAGTGCGCTTCCTAAAATGTATTAGAATTGATCACAGAGGAGCAGCTAGGTGGCACAGCGGATGGAGCACAGGACCTGAGTTCAGATGTGGCTCAGACACATAACACTTGCTAGCTGTGTGACCCTGGGCAAGTCACTTAACCGCATTGACTAGCCAGAAAAAAAGAAAGGATTGCTCACAGCGCTCCAGGTGTCATATAACCGAGACTAAATAAAAGACAGCTGTCACCTCCCTGGATATAGTAATAATTTAATAAAGGCCGTGCGGAGGGGGGAGCCTGTCTCCTTAACTAGAGATCTCAGTGTAGAAAGGGTAGGCTTGAGGCAGCCCCAGGGAAGGCTCTGGGTTGGGCAGATTGTGAACATCCAGAGGAGGGTTGTTCCTTTCCAGATTGTTCCTGTGACGGCCCGGCTGGCTTTCAGAACAGGCATATGACAGAGCCCACCTCACTACAGTGTAGCCATGTCCTTTAAAGGCCTTTGTTGTTGTTTTGTTTTTGGCCAAGATCCCTAGTGTTGGCCCCGAGCGGTTCAATGTCAAATCCATTCTCAAAGGATGAAGATGTGCCAGTGTTACAGATTCTGAAGTCACAATGATTCTAGAATTACAGCAGCATCGTAAGTTAAAGCCTTCTAGAAGGGGCTGTGCCCTTTGAAGGAGATGCATTAGTCTCTTTAATTTAGAGCCTCATCTTTTACAAATACAGTTAGGCTGGCACAGAAATCCTAGGCAGGACTTGAAGAGGAGGTGAATTCAGCTGGTGGAAGGCCTTGAGGGTGCTGATGAAGACTTTGGATTATTCATCTCCGTCACACCCCAACAGCTAAAATACGCTTGATGTTTCGCTTTAGTTCATCCTTTTTTTTTATCTCATTGGAATATGTTATAATGTAAAAAACATTATTTCTTGATAACGGGAGTGACTTATCAATACTTAAAAGACACAGATAACAGGTAACACGGAGAACAGTGACACGAGGATGGCCTTCATGGGAGAAATAACAGGAAGACTGTTCAAGTAGCGGCCCAGCCCCGCTGGAAAGAGGTGACTTGGTAGAAGGAAAAAATTCCTAACCACTTTAGCCCTCCGGAAGTGTCCCAACATGGCTGAGGTACGGCAGCCACTTAGGTCGGAATTAGAGGGGGTCAGGAGTTTCTCTACCCAGATTGAGGGCTTTTGAATGCACAGGTGAAGAGGTTAGGTGGAACTCTATGGGATAACTTGTAATCTGTAGGAGCATGCAAACTGAATTCATCTGGCCAATTTGGAATCTTTGACATACAGTAGGCGCTTAACAAATGTTGAAGTTCAGTGTAGTTTTGTGCTTTGTGTTTAATCTTACTGCGCTTAATTCCCAGGAAGTTACTCAGTGTTCTTGATCCCCATCCGTAAGGTTACACATAGTTCCTGGCAGCGCTTGCCACTGGATGTAGAATCCATGTTGTGTTTTTTGTTTTGATTGGTATTTGTAAACGTTAATCTTCCTTAAGCACATTTTTAGCATTGAAGTTGTTACATTTATTTCAACAGCTGATATTACTTTGACCAATTCTGATAAGTTCTGTGGAATCAGTGAGCCCGGTTGCCTACCACCTGGGACTTGTGAAGCTCAGGTTAGTGGTGCAGTCCTCACAGGCTGGAGAACTGTGCTTTCTTCCGTTGCTGCAGACTCTGTCTTCGTTCTGGCCAAACGTCTTAAAAATCCATGCTGTTGGATGGAGTGAATGGCCCTTTGGACCGATTCATAACTGTTACTAAAAGAATGCAAACCACACGCCTCACGGTTACTCTTATCTCCTAAATGGATTGATACATTTTCATAAATATCATATATTTTGGCCCTTGGAGCTTCTTTCTCCCAATTCCTATAGGCCAAAAGTAGTCATCATCAATATGTTAGCGTATGTTATATGTAAATATATGCATGCATGTGTGTTACAAATTATCAAGGACCCTCCAAAGAGTTTTTGTTTATGTGGGTTATAGATATCAGTATTTAACTATGTTAGGAATTAAAGTTCTTTAGTGACATTATTAAAATGGTTTAATCTTGTGGACCTTCTGGGAGGCTGTCAGTCCCCTAGGGGTCCCCCACATCACACTGCCACAACATTGTACTTCAAGTAGCACCGTTCAGCTGGACAGAATGCGCAAAAGGAGCGAAGACTCAGTTGCCCATGTGATAGACTGGCTTCCATCATTCTGCTTCTTGGCTGAACGTTAAACACTGTTTCTCTTCGTGATTTCAGGGGGAACGGGCCCAACCTCGGACACTGGCTGGGGCTGCATGTTGCGCTGTGGGCAGATGATCTTTGCTCAGGCCCTAGTCTGCAGGCACCTAGGCAGAGGTGAGCTACAGAATTTGGTGTGTATCTGTGGTTTGGGAGAGGCCTGGTGGGCTGGTGTTTGTATTTTGTTGGGGTTTTTTCCAGTTTTCATCTTTGGAAGGAGTTAGACGTTTGTATACTAGAGTACTGAAAAAGAACTATTTGCAAATATAACAAATCTAAACCTTGGGGCTGTTTTTCTTGGTAAGACGTATAGCACATGGTTAAGAGAAGGGCTTAGTATTGCATAAAATTCATCGTAGAGCTTTCGGGGATTTAAAATTAAACTGATAAGTACAAATTTGTTTTTGAGAAATTCTAAACCAGTAAAGTTGTGCACTTTTGGCTTCAGATTTGTTCTTATCTGGTAGTATAAGTTTTGAAATGTTTTCATGCATGTCTTTGAGGCACTTAATACTTTTTTATCAGAAATCAAATATATGAGTTTTCTCACTTTTTTTCATATCTGCTTTTCACTTTAATGAATACAAAACCCATTCTCCATGAATTCTCTGTTGAAAGGAAAGCTTTTTTATGGATCAGACATCAACTGGCACATATTATGAGGTCCTTGAAATAGGGGTAGGGCTTATATGTACGTGTGAGAGAGAGAGAGAGAGAGAGCGCGAGCGTACTCTGAGTCAGAGCCAGAGCCTGACGAGTCGGCCGTTAACTTCAGAAAAAGGCTTAAGTGACTCTGTTTTGTGCCAGACAGAAAACTACAACATAATGCTGTAGTGACGTTTGATCAGCTTTTTTAGTTCCCTTCTCAGAGACCATCAGTTGCATCTCTTGCATGGTCCTAAAAGCAGTTCAGGTATTTGTCTTTTTGTACTCTGGGCACTCGACAAATTTCAGACAGTGGGTGTGTTTGCTCTTTGTAACCATGAATCAAGTGTGAGTGAGTCACTCTTACGGTTGGTGGAAGCCACGTGGTTGTTCAGCTTGCGTGATCTTCTGCCTGCTTGTCTCTCTACCGTTCAGCAGCTGATGATTTGTACAAACATGGATATGGAAAGATGGAAAAGAAGTGAGAAAGTGATGTAACATTTGTTTTTGCTTAGCCCAGCTCTCTTTTCTCATGAAAAGTGCTTACTTTGTAGCCAGACAGGCTTTTTCCCGCGTAGGCCTCTTCTTCTCCATAACCTGAATTTAAATTCCTGGCCCCGTTTGTGACCCTATAGAAATGTTCTCACTGTCCACCTCGGGCAAGTTCCCCTCCTTTGGGCACCTGAAGACTATGGGAGGGACTTGGGCATCAATTAAACTCATAGGAATGAAGTCATCCTTGTTACTAGCCGTAAGGGGTTCTGACTCGCGCAGTAAATGGCCTCTCGAGTCGCCTCGTCACTGTTTGTGGCCTGACGGTCCAGTCTGCTGCCCGTCTTCCCTGCCTTTGTCCCTCCTTCTCCTGCTGCTTCTCTGCTTGCTGGTATCTTTGAGGGGGGTGGACGAGCTTGAGGTAGAATGGTTTTTTTTATGTTACATTTGCTCCCTGGTGCCAAGGCTGTTTATCATTGGTTAATATCACAGAATCCAAAGGAAGATTTTTGGTAACCCTGACCATTGTGTGTGTTTCTAATAGACTGGAGATGGAAGCAAGGGAGAAGGCAGACAGACGGCTACTTCAGTGTTCTCAACGCCTTCATTGACAAAAAGGACAGCTATTACTCCATCCACCAGATAGGTAGGAAAAGTGGCTGGAGGATTGGTGGCTCTTTGGGGAGAGCCAGTGGGTTTTTCCTTTCTCTTCTAGGAACATCTTTAACTTTCTGGGCTGGTTAAAGGGTTTATTGGGGTGTTGTAGTTAGAGGCATGTGGGATTTGGAGTCAGAACACTGGGATCCAGGTGCCAGCTCCGACTTGGATTGACTTTGTGACCTTGTGCAAGGCCCAGCATACCTCTGTGTCTCAGTGTCCTCTTCTGTAATATGAGAATACCTGCGGTCCCATCTCACAAAGGAAGGGGCAAGGAGCTGTCTGTGAACATCCCCTCAGAGGGTCGATGTCAGCAGCACAGTTAGCTAATAAAGATGGATTTGCACTGACAGGAATGGTGGGATGTTGCTGTTTGAAAGGAAGCCGCAAGTAAAAAGCATTGCCTTTGGGGAGGAGAATGATCTTGTTATGTGGCTTTGTTTTCTGTGAGGAGCTAGTGCCTTCTGCCTAGACAGATATGATCCTCCCTCACAGCTGTGAGAGATCAGCGCTGTTATTGTGACCCCCAGCTCATCCCCTTTCCAAAGCCTTGCCACAGTCTCTGCCTCCTGAGGAGACAGCCCTGCTCTTTGAGTGGAAAGAGAGCAGGTCTTTCCTGTCCCTTTCCTTTGCCTACTGGTTTTCATGAATGTTTTTTACACAAGTTTTTGTGGGTTTCTAAAACACCTCATTCTAAGTAAGACTCGGATATGTTCTTAAGGGATGATATAAAAAAGAAGATTGTCAATGTGACTGACGTGATTCTTTTTGATACAGCTCAGATGGGAGTCGGAGAGGGCAAATCGATAGGCCAGTGGTATGGGCCGAACACAGTCGCACAAGTACTCAAGTATGTACTGAACTGTTATTTTTTCTTGTCTTTTAGGAAAATTAGGAGTGTAACACTCGATTCTGAAAAATTCTTTGAGCTTTTCTCTAGGTCATGAGAGCACTAGAAAACGTGCTCAGCTATTAGTATAGTTTGAAAGTAATTTTTAAAAAATAAAACATTATTACCCGTAACATTTTGCGAAGGGGCTCTTTCCATGCTTTTCCAAGTGTTTAATCAATCATTCCTAGAGTATTTTCCAGCTTAAAATGAAAACAAAGTTGATTGAAATCCTGTAGTATTTTGTCTTACGAGTAGGCTCTTGGTGCTGTGATTTTAGGAAGACCTTAGTTCTCTTCTTTCACCATAGATTTCCCCATCTAAAATTTCAACATGAAACAGTGTTTTTGAAGCTAATTTGGTCATGGAGCACTTGGGTTCAAATTATATTGAAACGACCCACAACTACTGGTTTGCGGCAGGTGGTCTGAGTAAAGGGTGGAGACTATAGGTATCGTTGTCAGACTGGTCCACATGTGTTCAGTGAACTTGATAAAATCTTTGTGTTTGTGGCGTTTGGGACAGAATGACTTGAAAGGTAGAGAAGAACCCATTCGACGCAGCCTGTGCTCAGAGCTTGGCTGCCAGTGAGAGCTTGCTTGGTGTCTGTGGGAAGGGGACCTTCTGTGGGAACTGGCCTGTGACCATTTGTAGGGAATGAGGATGTGAGAGAGGACAGGCTAGGCTCCTTCTCCGGAATTGAATGACAGGTAAGAAGTAGAGGGAAAGAGGATGTTGGACTCACAGACTCACTCCTAAGGAAGCACAGGAATTCTCAGATGAAGTCAAGAAGCTTATCACCTCCCCTCACCCAGCCTGGGCTATTCAGCCTGGCCTGGCCCGGCTCTGCCTCACTCATTCTCCACCAAACCTGACCTTTTGGAGCAGCCTCTCTGTCTACAGGTGCCATCTTGGGTTTCTCAAGCTTTCTGTCTCCCCTATTTTTCCCCACTGAAATTTAAAAAAAAAACAACCTTAAACTTTTAGAAAGCTAAGTGTTACTAGTATTGAAATTTTCTCATGGATCCACAATTCAAATCATGGAATGTCTGAGAGCACAATTTGAGAAACACTGGCTTTGATGCTGTGGAGGTACAAGATCTTCCCAGGGGCTGATAAGGTGTGGTTTTTTTTTAATCACTTTTATGTTTTTTTCAGGTCTTCATTATCTCTTTCCCAACGTCTCATCTCCTTCCCTTACACTGAGAAAGCAAGAAAAACAAAACTTGTTAAAAACATGTGCAGTCAAGCAAAACAAATGACTGCATTGGCCATGTCCCCCCAAAAATGCCTCAGACTGCCTCTGCGTCCATGCCCCTCTGTCCGCAGGTGGGCAGCAGATTTCATCATGGATTTTGGAATTCTGGTCATTGTGTTGATCAGAGTTTCCAAGTCTTTCAAGGCTACTTATTTGTCTTTGTAATACTGTTATTCTGGTTCTGCTCACTTCACTTTGCCTCAGTTGATACAAGTCTTCCTGGGATTCCCTGAAACCGTCCCCTGCTTATCTTATAGCACACTAGTATTCCATCACATGCATGTACTGTAACTTGTTCGTCCATTCTCCACTTGATGGGCAAGCCCTTAGTTTCCAGTTCTTCCACATCTCAAAAAGAGCTGGTATAAATATTTTTATATATTTGGGTCTTTTTCTTCTTCATCTTTTTCTGCTTCTTTTTGATCTCTGAATTATGGACTTAGTAGCTGTGTCACTGGACCAAAGGGGATGCGCCGTTTAACAGCGTTTTGGGCAGTGTTCCAGCATGCTTTCCACAATGGCTGTGTTGAAGTTCGGTTCCACCAAGAGTGTAGTAGTGTGCCTGTTTCCCCACAACCCCTCCAAGCTGGTCACATTTGGTGGTGCTGGCCAAAGAAGTGCATGACTCTTCACAGATGAGCACAAAAGAGTAAGCCCTGGGCAGAATCAGGAAGGAGAGGAAGGCTCGGCCTTTCAGCCTTTCTTTATCCCTTGAGTGGCATCATTTCTGTCAAACCTCCCAGTGCTAGTTAGGCACTTTCAAGGTTCTGATATTATTATTTAAGTAGGCTAGATGAAAACTTACATTAACGTGTTATTCCTGTCCTAGTTGTTTTTGGTTTTGTTTTTTGTTTGTGTGTTTGTTTTGTTTTTTTAGTGAGGCAATTGGGGTTAAGTGACATGCCCAGAGTCACACAGCTAGGAAGTATTTGAACTCAGATTTGAACTCAGGTCCTCCTGACTCCAGGGCTGGTGCTCTATCCACTGTGCCACCCAGCTGCCTCTGTTTTTGTTTTTAAAGCCTCTTCTTTCTTATTGTGGGATGAAAGACTTTGTCTTCTGTTAAATCTTTCTTTTCACAGTGCACCTGAAGTCCTAAGGCAGATCAGCCCTTGAGGTTAACTATATCCTCTTACCAGTGCTTTCATCATATTCAGTACCTGGATAGCCTGAGTCAAAAGAGTCTTGTCCATTTCGTTCCCCTAGGCTGTAGCTGCTGAGGGTTTATTTCTTAGTAGTTTCTAATATGTCCTGTTGTCATTGCATCCTTGCTGCTGTGGATTGGAAACCTTGAGCCTCCCACATCTGAGCACAGATCCCTGCTTTCTGTCTAACCCTCTGTCTTTCCTCTTCATTGGATGCTTCCTTTAACCCTAAATCCTCCCCTTCCATTCTTTTGCTTCAACCCTTCTGGATGGCAGGGCTCTTGGGATGTATTGTCCCCCTCCTTGTTCCTGGATGTCTGCTCCTCTTCTCTTAACTCCCTTTCAGATGTTAGGGATGGGGGGAAAGGAGAATCAGGGAAGGGAACCCCAGTTGTAGCGGAGTTGGATAGAGAACGATTGTCTATGGGTGTGGGAGTGCCAGTTTTTTATGTGTCAAAGAAAATGAACACTGCTATTTAGAGACCCTGGAGGCATGATTACCAGGAGAAATTTAAGTTTTTTGGCCTTAAAAAAATATTAATTGCAGTTCTGTATGTGAAAACTGCTGATCATTTATGCCTGGTTACCATGCAGTAGTACAGTAATAATTTTGCATGTCATTGAACAGTGAGCCTGATTCGGGTGTGTGGCTTAGGGGCTCTATCTCATTCCTCAGTAGCCAACCCTGTCTGTTTGTTTTTCACAGTTTTGCTCTTGTGGCATGGTCACCTACTTCTGACTTAAACAGCTAGAGGTCACCAGTCACTGCTACGGTAGTAATAGGAGCCCGAAGACAGCAGGGGCTTGAGAAGGCAAAGAGAGAGGAGCCCAGGCTGGACGGCTCGGGGCTGGAGGGGAGGACGCCACTCCTGAAATGTAGCTTGTGGCTCTGCGGTGGAGTTATGTCTTGGTGGTGGTTTTGTCCTGTCCATGCAGCGGCTGTGCTGCTTGTCTTCTGCTGCACTGGGTCACTGCAGCTTTTCACCTCGAAAATCAGAGGGAAGAGAAACAAGTATAATGGGGTCTGTTCAAGAGCCCACTGGCCTGCTTATTTGTCTCCCGCCTTTGTTTATTTTCAGGAAACTTGCTGTTTTTGATACGTGGAGTTCGTTGGCCGTCCACATAGCAATGGACAACACTGTGGTGATGGAGGAGATAAGTAAGTCATTGATTGAAGTGTTGAGAGATACAGTAGAGGCAAAATTAACTGTAAGAAGCCTCAGATTAATTGGAGCAAAATCCAGGTGGTTGACAAACCGACAGATTGCAGAACATGGAGGGAAAACTGCTCTTAGCAGCACAAGGTGGCTACTCTGAGGAGGAAGGGAGAGTAGAAAATTATCTTAAAGTAAAATGGGTCCTCGGGAAGCTTCAAACCAAAGCACGGTTGTGAGGTTGGCAGCCTGGGTCCCACAGTGTTGGTGTGAGGGAAGGGCCAGATTTCTGCACGTGGTTAGTGTTATGCAGCTGTGGAAGTGGCTAGCATCCTGAACTCTGACAAACAGAAGTAGCCAACGTGAAAGTGAAATGTCATTTCTACTAGTATTTCTGGTCTCAGCAAAATAAAAGAAAATCAATTGGAAACCCAGAGGGCTCCTGTGACAGCATTGGCAAGCTGGGGGGGAGGGGAGGGCCTGTACATGGCCTGTACACGGACCCTTCTTAAAAATGCAGGTTGAGGGAGAGAGTGAAGGAAGGACGATTTAGAGTGGCCTGGGCTTTGCTGGATACAAATAGAACCCACTTAGAGATTCTCAGGCACTTGTTAGGCTACATTTCGTCCATGAAGTGTCGGCATATCAGCTCCTCAGTACTTCTCTTACCCAAGTGGCTCATCCTTCAAGAATATGATGGCCATGGATGTCCAGCTGAGACTCGCAATCAGGCAGATTTTGTAAAAAGGAGTTTGAAATTACAGGGTACCACCTTTGCAAGAATTTAAAGCTTAGCTGTTAAATCTTTAAAAGGGCTGAAATGAATGCTTTTAGGAGTTGCCTGAATACTGGAATTTATATATTAGTACTTTAGAATCCACAGTCTCACAAAATCGCAGAATATGAGCTAGAAAAGACTTCAGAGGCAATCTTACCTTAACAAGAATGCACAACCTAATGGGTCAGCATCTGACCTTTGCTCAAATACTTCAAATAAAGAGAAACCCAGTACTTCTCAAAACAGCTCATTTCCCTTTTGAATAACTCTTAAATTATTACTCATTTCTTACATCAGTCCAATTTTATGTGATTGTAAGGAAGAAAAACTAGTGTGTTTAGGCATGAGCAGCTTTCCACACTGGTATCTCATCCTTTGGGCCACTGAATGTTGGCCTTTCCGTTAGGAAGATTATTTTGCCAAGTGAGAAGTGGACTGCTTGGTAATGAGGGAGAGTGGAGGCAGGCAGAGCAGTTCAGAAGTCATCTTCTCGGCCAGGGCCGTGGGAAGAAGGGAAAGCCATAGAGGGTGTCCTGGAGTAAGCAAGCCTCGGAGACTGATTGGTTGGAGGGGATCAAAGGAGAAGGAAGCTGAGGTGCCCCTGGGGCAACAGACAGTCAAGGAGGGAAGTTCAGGGAAGGGGGCCAGGTCAGGAGGGTGAATGATGGTGTCTGTCGGAGATGTATTGCATTTGAGGTCCCAGGAGGCTAGCCATTGGGGGAGGGGAGTGTGTCCAGCAGGCAGTTGGAGTTGTAGGAGGAGCTCAGGAAGAAATGGTGATTAAATCTATGGACTTGGGAGTCATTGGTCACCAAGAACTTACCACAAGCCAGGCCCTGTGCTGAGTGCTGGGGTTACAGATCCAAAAAAAGGAAACAGTCTCTCCTCTGAGGGAGCAGACGTAACCCATGGTGGGGTGGTGGCTGTGCTCACCAAGGGGGGCACCCCGCCACAGCGTGCAGGAAAAGAACGATGAACCAATGAAAGAGATGGGGAAAGAGGTTTTTAAAGTAGGTCAGAAGGCACTTTGAGGAGGGGACAGGGCCAAGGAAGCCAGGCAGGGAGAAGTCCTCAGAGACACTCAGACTCAGTAGAAAGGGTGAACTTTGTGTTTCTTGTGTTGTAAATGTGCCCTGGGGTTCTGAAATGTTGGTTTTGAGCTTAGAGCCTTTGTACTCCTCGTGTATTGTCTTTTCCCTTTCTCAGGGAGGTTGTGCAAGGCCACTTCTCCACGCCCAGATGCCGCTGCGTTTCCTCCAGACTCAGAACTGCTCTCTAATGGGTACCCCCCGGGAGCTGAGGTCACCCACCGGCTGTCACAGTGGAAACCTCTAGTGTTGCTGATCCCTCTCCGCCTTGGGCTCACGGATATCAATGAAGCTTACACTGAAACCCTCAAGGTAGGGTTGGGGGGCGGCATCTGCTCTGGCCTGAAGCAAGGCTGTGTTTCACTTTTCCTTTTCTTTTTGAAGATGAGGAACATCGAGGCGTCATCAGCTATTTGGTTGCATGCTTTCCTTGTGCCTGTGAGTCAGTACTCGCAGTACCAGTTACTTGGTCGTAGGGCGCGTGGCCATGCTGGACACCCAGACCGCTGGGTGGAGAGTGTGTGAGCTGGCAGGGCTAGGTCTGGACACAACTTGTTTACTTTGATGATGTCATATTATGGTTAAACATCAGGCATGAATGTTAGAGGTGAAAGAGGCTGGAGAGGGGGCCGCTAGGTGATGCAGTAGACGGAGCACCGGCCCTGGAGTCAGGAGGGACCTGAGTTCAGATGCAGCCTCAGACACATAACACTTACGAGCTGTGTGACCATGGGCAAGTCACTCAACCCCATTGCCTAGCAAAAAAAAAAAAAAAAGAGGCTGAAGAACTCATCTCTTCCTGCTCCCTCATTTTACAGGCGAGGAAATAGCAGGGAGATGATACTGAGTCACACTTTAATCACCAACAGGCCACACAATTAACTGATGAATTTGGCCCAGAGCCCAGGCCTTTGGGTCCGAGGGTTACAGAGTGGCCTGAAGTCATTTATGAAGTCTTGCAGCACTTGGAGCTGTGATACTTGGCAGAGAAAGTGGAGCAGCAGTCGGCTGATCTGTCTGCCCTAGCTTGGCCACGTGTGGTGCTGTTTCCTGGGAACCCTGAACGCTGGCTTCCTGCCAGGCCCATTGGGCTGGATTGGGAGGTGGAACGAGGGCCCATCAGAACTCATTGACTCTACAAGTTCACAGGACTCTCCTGCCTCTCTGCGACTTCTCTTTGGGGAGCTGTAAATTACTTCCCACTTTCTGGATCTTCTGTCTCTCCTCTGTCCATTTGTCACCATCCTTCTCATTCCAAACACGAAGTTCATCTGGACCTCAGTTTCTCCAAAGGATGCTGATCTTCGTGTTCCCCCCCACCCTGTTTGAAGCTAATGGCATGTGGCCTGAGCCCTGTAACAGCTGCCCAGTGAGTCATAGAGACTGAAGGGGACCCCAGGAGCCTCTATTGAGCCCCCTCATTTCGCAGATCAGAATAGGGTGCTTGCCTTGCCTACGGTCTCTTCCAGCTCCAAGCCAGCCTACACCTCCCCGCCAGATGGGGGCTCCTCAGATGCTACTTGTATCTGTCAGAAGCCTGAGCTTCTTGCCCTCGCATTCAAGGCCTTTCGTCAGCTAGCTCGTTGGGCTCAAATCCCTTGGCTCCCCTGCATAATCTTGGGCTCGAGTCAGGCCAGGCCTTGGCTCTCCACATGTACCATGGTGATTTTGCCTCTAGCCCTTTGTCGTGCTGTTTCCCTTCCCACAACGTCTTCCCCTCCATTTCTCTAGGGCCTCCCTTCTCTATGAAGCTTACCCTTCTGAATGTCTGTGTCACTGATAGGCTGTCCCTTACCCTCTAGCCCTGGGCCATAACCTCCTTAGGGTGGTCTCCAGGTGTCGTGCGTGCTTGTGTGTGTGCGTGTGTGTGTGTGTGTGTGTGCGCGCGCGCGTGCGCGCGTGCTCCCTGGCAGCCCCACCCCTCCCAACAGTGCCATCCTGGTTTTCTCGGTGTTGTGTTCTCCTCCCTGGCCCGCATCGACGTATTGTGTCTCAGTGGTTCTCTTTCTCTTTCTCGCCCCTGTCTCTTCTGCAGCACTGTTTTATGATGCCCCAGTCCCTGGGAGTAATTGGAGGGAAGCCTAACAGTGCTCACTACTTCATTGGATATGTAGGTGAGTCGCCCACAGCACTGGATTACCGTGGTATCCAGATTGCCTTGAAATTTAAAAAAGGAGAAAGAGAAAAGTGCTCAGTGTAGCCCAGTGCCTTTGAGTTCATGCCATGGAGCAATGCTGCAGTCGTTCGCTCTCCTGCTACCCACACGTCCACTCCACGCTCCTCTCTGTTCTGTTTCCTTCAGAACACCGACCCTCGACATTGCCGGCTTCCTTACCAGGGAGGAAGCGTGGCTGGGTCCGGTGTCAGGTAGATGGAGCTGGTATGTCACCCTTTTCTAAGGGATTATTGCTCACTCACTCTACGTTAAATCCCAAGAGGAGACCCTTCCTTCTGGGTTTCTCTCTGCTCGAGTTGGGCTTCGTTACCCTAAGCCCTGCTTTGTTTGTGTGCAGCCTTACATGAGCCTCTTTTTTTCCATCCAAAAGCTGCTTGCCCACCTGTCAGACAGTCTGTAGTTTTAGCGACTCTTACTTTCTTAGCCCCATTCGATGTTTACTTTCTTTGCTCTCTCCCCTTTTTCCCTTCTGTGGTGAGGAGAGCCGCACCCCTGCCCGCTACCTTCCCTCCTTGTGCAGAAGGTCTGCTCACTCTTCTTTCATTTTCCCCTCTCTGCTTGCCCAGGGGAGGAGCTGATTTACCTGGACCCTCACACGACTCAGCCTGCTGTGGAGCTGGCCGAAGGCGGCACTTTCCCTGACGAGACCTTCCACTGCCAGCACCCTCCATGCCGCATGAACATCGGGGAGCTGGACCCCTCCATCGCCGTGGTGCGTACCCAGCGCCCCATGCCGAGTTCTTTAGGTGGTTGCTCTGTATGGGTCACATTCATTACTGCCCACCCTCATCCCCTTTCCAGCTGAAGAAAAACAAGTCAGCAAAAACTCACTCAGGCGGTGTGCCTTGTGTTGTCCCTGCTGGAAGTGGAAAGGGCGTTTGCTTGGGCCTTCCTGTTTTTTTGTCATTGCTCGGGAGGTAATTTTCTTTGGGGATCCCATTTCTGTTGTTGGAGTCCTTCTCACTGCATCATTTCCTATGAATCTTCTCACATGTCACTGAATTCCTTCTAGTCATCATTTCTTTGTACACAAGATTCCAGTCTTCAGTTATCCTCCACTCAGTGGGCACTGATTTTTTTCCAAGTGCTGCACACTTGGCCTTTCTTTCTGTCCTTGACCTCCTTGGGGTATAGACCTGGTAGGGGCATGCTTACTGCCTCGCCTCTTTTAAATGGGCTATGGGCTGAAGGGTGGTTTTTCCCCCTCGTGTATACTTTTATTTCTGGGAGTGTCTTCTTTATCTGGCTGATCCTCAAAACCCCTTTGGGCAGGGGATCTTAAAAGTAAAAGGAAACCCTTGGAATTGAAATGAACCTGCCCAACTAAGTAGGAACATCTTCCCATTTTGTCTTTTTGTTCCCTGAAGTCTGACCCTAATGCCTTATGGTGTGGAGGTGACCCTGGGTTCATAAGGGCTTTGCCTTTTGGACCTGAAAAGTCCTGGTCAGCCTTTCTCAGCCTGGGGATGCCTGTGCATTTCTTGTCTGGAGACCAGTGCAAGCTCCCAAAGCCTGTTCTCCTGGCTCCCCACAGAACAATGACTACCTTTCAGCCTCAGCACTTCTCAGAGGCCATCCTGTAAATACTGGAGACTTTCATCTGTGGTAGCAGAGAGGGGTCTACCTTCCCAAAGCGCAGACCGAAATTTGGTTTACCTTTTAGAAATGTCTGCAAGACTTGGCTGCCTGGCTGGGAGCTTCCCAGAGTTCATTCCCTAGTCACTCTGTTCTGCCCCAGAATCTGCTTCTGCCTTGCGTTTTGGGGCCAAGCAAAATGAGGCCAATCCCTCTTCACCCTGATAGTCTTGCGAACCCTGGACACCTTTCATGCTCCCCTGGAGTGTGCTTTTCTCCGGTGCAAATATCACCCGTTTAGTGCTACACAGATTCCTGCCTCTTTTCATACATGCCTGAGGATGCATTAGGACAGGGGGCATAGGGTTGCTGTCATCTTACTGTTAACTGACATTGAACTTAGAATTCACAAGAATCCCTCTCTCTTTTTTCAGTCAAGTTCCTGTCAAGCTATGCCTCCCTGATCTTATACTTGGGAAAGCTGAAGTTCTGGATTTCAAAATTTAGCCCTCGTTTCGTTAGGCGGACTTTTTTTCTTCATCTTTTTTAAAATCTAAGTTGGTCATTGAATACCTTGTATGTCCATAGAGACAATTCTTCCTTTTACTTGTCAGGATTGTTCATCTCTGTGTCTTCAGAATTTCATTCTTGAGAGCTTTTTATCCTTCTTTAGGCCACAGAGTTGTCCCTATCCTTTAAACCTGTAGGAATCTAAGGACATTTATCACTTTTCCCCTACTCTTCTCCCATCTGTCACTTATTCTCGGATGGAGTGATCCCTGTTTTTTCCACATACACATTTATCAAGCACCTGCTATGTGTGAAACGTATCAAAGAGCTAAGATTACAAAAGCCAAAAGTTCCAGACCTTTTAGAAGCTTCCATTTTACTTCAGGGGATGCCCCCCAGTTTGTCCAGAAATGAGTGATCAGATGACGGGGGTCCCCCCAAGTGATGCGTTTCTATGTGCTCCTGATGTGGAATGAAGAAGTGTGAAATCAGGGTTGGATGTGGAAAGGGACTTTGTGCTCTGAGCTGATAATTTAGTCTTGGGACTGAAGCAGATGCTCAGGGGTCTAGGGTCAGGCTCCTGGGTGGGGAGACTCCCTGCCTGAAGGAGTTTGAGAAAGACCAGAGAGCCAGCAAAGGAGACCAAGAAAGAGGAGAGAGAGACAGAGATATGGAGGAAAGGGGAGACGGAGGAGGAGAGTGTCCTGAAGGGGATGTGATCCAGCAGGCCTCAGTGCTTGGGACAAAGAGGATTTGCACGTCCCTGGAGCTGCGCTGCTGTAGGACAGATGTTCCCTCCATTGGCTTCCATACCTTCTGAATGATGGAACTGTCATTAAGGCAAGGCAAGGCATTTCTAGCTGCTGCGCTTTTGGCAGAGGAAAGCGCTCCATGAGAGGTCTAGATAACTGAAGGTTTCCCACACTCCTCCGTCAAGCCTCCGTGCCAAGTTGGGGATCTGTTTGTTATTTAAGGTGAGGTACATTAAGGACTGTTGACTTTGCTGAAAGTTGAGGATTATTTTTAACGTTCGTTTTAGAGTTCTCCTTCCCTGAGATGGTGAGCAGTTTGATGATAGTTATACGTGTGCAGTCATCAGCATCTGTTTATTAAACATTTACTGTGGGCCAGGCACTTATGCTGAGCACTGAGTTTAGTTGTCTTTTTTAGTTTTCTCTTTTGGTACTGTTTCAGCTGTATGTGTTAACTAAAATACCCGTAGGGTTTAAGATTTTGATTTCATTGTTAGTAGATTTGAAAACCCTAACCTTGATCATTCATAGGCAGCACTCACTTTCTTCCTTCTTTTTTTTTTTTTAAAGTGAGGCAGTTGGGGTTAAGTGACTTGCCCAGGGTCACACAGCTAGTAAGTGTCACATGTTTGGTCTGAGGCCGGGTTTGAACTCAGGTCCTCCTGACTTCAGGGCCACTGCTCTATCTACTGCGCCACCTAGCTGCCCCTCAGCACTCACTTTCTTACTTGGGCTTTTGTATTTTAGTGACCTTTTCCTTAAAACATTTCAATGAACACAGTTGCTGGAACCCAAATCTTGTGGCTTCGTTAACACATGTGATCACAACCCGAATTGGGGAGGGGAAGACGTCTGAGGCTGTGAGAAGGGAGCGTGGGGGTGGGGGTGGGGGATGCCAGCTATTCCAGGGCCTGGGCCGGATGTTTGTCGGTGTTCGTCTTGGTTTGTGTTTCCACATCTCCACTTAAACTACATGTCTGTTCTAGGGATTTTTCTGCAAGACTGAGGAAGACTTCAATGATTGGTGCCAACAAGTCAAAAAGGTTTGTCTTCTCTTCAGTCCTGCATAAACAAGTCTCTGTAAAATCAGAATCTTTATTTCTTAAGAAACAGGGTAAAACTGGGAACAACTATCCTGAGTTATGTATTAAAGGGAGTTTAAAGGTGATTTTAAGTCTTGTATTGATTTAGAGATGATAGTGGCAATAATGATGATAATGAAATTTGCTCTGAATTTGAGTCATTTTTACATTAGTTCTGTTCCTCACGTTTATGACGTATGATATTTTTCTTTCAGTTATGTAAGTTATAAATAACTGAAGAGATATGACAAAAGATTATCCTTGTGGAAAATCATACAGAATTTTCCGATGGGGAACACCTCATTGGCACCTTTTGCCCCAGATGCCAGGTCTTGGGTATGCCTTTGGCTGTGGAGCATTGTGGACAGGACCAGGTTTACTCTGAAGCGTCTTTGTGTGGCTTTCCTCACAGTTATCTCGAATCCCAGGAGCCCTGCCCATGTTTGAGCTGGTCGAGCGGCAGCCTGCACACTTCTCGTGCCCAGACGTTCTGAATCTCTCACTAGGTAACTTCCACGTTGTCCTGGGAGCAGACAGTGTGGGATGGGAGCGAGGGGTACTTGCCGTGTCTCTTTTTCTACACCCTTTTGCTTTTGGGTATTAATTGCTCACGCTGGAGCTTTCATTGGAATGACGCAGCCAGGGAGAAACAAGACACTGAAGCATTTCAAAGCTTAGGCCCACATTCTAGTCTAAATTTCTCCCTGCACATTTTTTAAATATACATCTGTGGTTTTGGCCCAGAGAAATAAGCAGTAGCTGTTTTTTCTTTACTTTTGTCTTCACTTAGATGAATATTGAAGAAAGTTGTAGATAGAGCTGTAGTGAATTTTTGTGGGATTTTGTGTTTTGTTTTATTTTAAATCCTCCTGTGGACTCGTTACTTTGTAGTCTGTGTTGTGGTCTCTGATTTCCTGTTGTCATTTCCATTTTTAACTCACCCAAACACTTGGATTAATTAACTAATTCGTATGGAGATTTTACACGTGTTTGTATATGCGGTTGTTAATCCTGAGCTACTGCTGATATTTTGACATAAATCAGTAACGTCTAAGAGAGTCTGGCACATTGTCCTTTAATTCAAACATCAGTCTAGCAGACAATATCCATGACGTTTTGAACTCATCACCATACCATTTTCCTCTTTTTGGTTAGTGGCAAGGTTTACATCAAGCATCGTATTTAGGGTAGATATATTTTTTGAGCATTGGGTCAACAAATTCCAGTTTACTTTTTACTTCTCATTTTTAAAAAAAAGGTATTTTGCAGCTTGTGATTTTTATCTGTTTCCTACCATCCTATTTCCTCCATTTCCTGACTGTTCTTCCCACTCATAGCATTTCGTCCCTCTGATCCACCTCAAATAGAAGCAGCATGGCCCAGTAGACATTGGAGAAGTACCCTGGCGTCAAGGCCTGGCTCTGCCTCAGCAGCTCATTGAGAAGCCTCCCCTAGAAAATGAGGGGTCGGAGGAGCTGGCCTCTGAGGACCTTCTCGTTTTCTGAATGTGCCTTGTGGGTTCCCACTGGACCCATAGTGTCTCCTTTTAAATTCTAGCTCAGCCCTTATGCCTTTCCTGACCTCACCATTTGGGAACCCTTCCCTATGAAATTTTCTCTGCTGTTTCGTTCAGTTAGAGTGTATGCACCGATAATGATCTTTTCATGTACATATATGTCTTCTCTCCTCAGTTATAATATTAACTCCATGAAAGTGGGGACCTGATCTTAAGCTTTATAACCCCTATTGGCCCCTAGGATAGCGCTCTGCCCCGAGTAAGTACTCAGGGAGTATCTGTTGGTTTTACTAGGACTCTTCACCTCCCTCTCTTTTCTACCCCATCCCCACCAAACCCAAACACTTCATTGACCTGAAACATTTGTTTTCTCTCCCCTAGACTCTTCTGACGTAGAAAGACTGGAAAGATTTTTTGATTCGGAAGATGAAGACTTTGAAATTTTGTCCCTTTGAAAAGACTAGGAAACTGACTTGCCTGATCTGTGTTGCGTGGGGGGTGGGGGGTGGGGAGGGAAGCCCCTCTGAGAGCCCGGCTCAGCGGTTTTCACAGGCACTCGATGACATCCCAGTGTTCCATCCATCCCGGCGTGCGTGCATCCTCGGAGCAGAGGGGGCACTGTCTACATTCTGCCCTTGGATCGAGAATATGTTTTCATGGAAGCCTTAATGCTTGGAGTCAGGATCCTCAGCACAAAACACTTTCAGGAAATGGAGAGGGTGATACCTCGATGTGTGAGAGGAGCAGAGCCGAGACTGTGAAGTGTGTCGAGCCTGGACAAGGTCTCCTTTCTCCCTGGTTGGCCGGGCCCTCGTGAGCAGATGCGCTCATGTTCCACCTCCTACCGCTCTAAGCTTTGGTTTGCATTGGATGTCAGTTCCTCGTTGTAGTTACGCAGCAAGAGCAGAGTAGACTGGGCGTCCTCAAGTAGAAGTCCCTGAAGCCTCGCAGAGTGTGTTGTGCCTGGAATGGAGGGGACTGGACTCACAGCGATTTTCATCTACTCTTCCACAGAGTGATGCTGCACTTGCTTCATACTCAGTGCTTGTCTGCAGACACATAATTGTCTTTCTCTGTCTTCTTTAAGCTCTGTCCTATTCCTTTATTATTTTTAAGGGCTACCCGTGGGGGTGGGAATTGAACTGACTGAATTTTATTATACCAAGGTTTCTCATTTAAAAAAAAAAGTCAAAATTGGCTATTCAAGACCACTAAACACACACACACACACACACACACACACACACACACACACACACACACACACACACACACACACATACACCTCTCTCTCTCTCTCTCCTCTCTCTCTCTCTCTCTCTCTCTCTCTCTCTCTCTCTCTCTCTCCCCCCCCCTCCCCCTCTCTCCCTCTCCCTCCCTCCCCCTCTCTCCCTCTCCCTCCCTCCTCCCCTCCCCCTCCCTCTCTCTCACTCTCTCACTCCCCCCCCAAAAAAAACCCCAAAACCTCCATAGTTGTGGACAGTATTTAAAACAGAGAAAACAAAAGAGAATGATTTCTGTCCCTGGCAAGCTCAGCATGACCTTGAGGTCATAGATATGGAAGGGGTAAATTTTCTGAGTGGTTGATGCTGTCCTAGAAAGAGCTCCAGGTGTGTTCATGTCTTCAGTAATACTGCATCACCATCTAAGAGCTAGGGCAGCGCAACAGGCAGTTTTTCTATGAGGGGGAAGAGATTAAGAAAGAACCAAGAGTCAAACTCTGGCCTCTGACAGGCAAGAACATTAGCAGAAGATAGTTTCCGACATAGGCAGTGTGGAAAGGCATGAAGGAGAAAGAGGCAGGCTAGGTTGTGTGATCTGCCTGCTTCTTGTAAGTCACAGCCAACAAACAGGAATTCCTCCATGGTTTCCGAGCTCTGTGAGGTGGTCTTGGCTTTACGCTGTTTTCAGCTGAATAGTTGGGAGCTGAGGAGTCCAGTGCAGTGATAATCTTAGAAGCCAATGGCAAGTCACCATCATAGTCATCTAGTAGTCAGGCCGGCCTGGGATGTTCCCAAGGCCCTGCTCAGAAACGGCCTGTTTGGTTTTCTGTTGCCGGTGGGGGGGGGGGTGGTTCTGTTGTTCCCATCGGCACGCATATGAATTCAAACCATTTTAGTCCTTAACTGACTGGCTCTACAGCCTTGTTTCAGTATAAAGCTGCCGTTTGTCAAATGTTGTCAATTCTTTAGGAAATGTTTAAAGAGGGAGGGGTCTTTGTGGGCCATCTGTTAATCATGCATATAGGGAATATGGGGGAAGTGGGTCTTCTACGAGGAAAAATCACTTTTACTATACTGTGTTCCTTAGGAAAGAGAAATCAGTATTTGCAAAAGTGCTAAGTGCCCACGTTTGCCGCTTTTTAACTCCTGCTTCTGTCCTGGGCAAGTAAAGGGGAGTAAATCGTTAGGAAACACCTGAACATTCACTTCCAAGATGGCAAGGGAAATGGATTCAGTGGTTTGACTCCAGTACCGGGTGTCATCCGGAAGAGGCTCCAGGGCACCCTGCCGAAGTCTGGAAGAAACAAACTACTCCCTTTCCCTTCTTTTCCTTTCTTATCCATTCCTTGTCTTTCACATATATTTGGGGGTGGGTAAGGAGAGTGGGGATAATTCTCCATTTAGTGCTTTATGTTTTTTATCTGAATAAATAACTGACAAGCTTCTTAAAAGCCCTTTGGTTTCTGAAACATCACTGAATTCCAAGTGAGATTGATTTGTCTGCCTAAAGTCGATGTCATGGCTCAAAGATGGTTCGTTTGAGGTCAGAACCTTAGCAGAAGGATTCTTTTGGTATCCTGAAACAATGAATTCTTTTAAGATTTTAACAACAAAATAGGCCTTGTCTCCGCCCTGTCTTCCTCTGTGGATTCTTCTGTGGAATGTAGCAGCACACCATGAAATGATGACTGGGGTCTGGGGTGCTCTTGGGCCATAATACTGTCCATTGGTGGGACTGTTCCTCCTGCTACCAAAGTCTGATGCGCTCAACAGATTGAGAAAGTTTGTTGGAGCAAGATCGAGGGGTCCAGGGTGACAGACAGTGCCTGTGCATGGGAGTCTTTCCCCTCCTGTGTTCTTCACGTTCTCTTGCCTATTAGAGACTGTGTCTGTCACTGTGGGAAGAACAGGCAGCTATTCTTAATTCATTCACTGAGTTAACCAAACCTGTCTGGGATATTTCCTCTCCCTACGGTCACAAGGTCATCAGATAGTAGTCTTAAGACATGTACCAACCCAAGGGTGGGCATTAATCTTACGCACAACCCTTGTAGTGTTGAAGTTGGCCTGCTATGCCAGTTATTGCCACAAAATGTTAAATCTCACACGTGCTGGTACCATGTTGAAGTATTGGAAATGCCTCCTATAAATTTGTGGAATGTGTCACCACGTGTTTTGTATAGTGATGCCACTACAAGTGCACAGAGAATTCTCACTGCTTGTTCATGCAGGATGTGGGCTGGTTCGTGGTTCATCCTGTTCCCTGCTTTTGTGTCCACAATGCTGCTTGTCATTGAAACAGCAGCTCCCTGGAATACCTCCTGGAGGTCATCAGGGATTGATCTGATGAATATTTATCCAGGGCTGTCCAAAGGGAAGACTTCCCTCCATTCCAAATCCGTGAAAGCTTTTGCACCTTTCAGTGAGTTCTCAGGTTTTCCAATCCCCAGTCTCTATATCATCATCTGGAATCTGAAGGGTCCAAAATAACAACCGAGATAGTGCAGAAAAGCATGTAACATCTTGGGCGGAACTTTTAAAAATGGAAAAGTCTAACTATGAGGTAGTTTGGCCTTTTGCCTGTCACTATTCAGGTGTGATTTTTTTTTGAAGTTTTCAAGTGAAAGATTAGGTCATAGCATGAAAGAATAGTCATCAAGCAAGGTAGTTTATCCTGATCTTATGTAGGCTCATGTTCTGTCTCAGGTTTGGGGGCACATTTCTGTAGTTCATCTGTGTTTTACACTGCCTTCCATGTCCTTAATGAAAACTTTATCCCAGAAAACAAGAAAAACTGTTTAGGCAGAGTGACTGATATGTTAATTTCCTAGGGCAGCACAATACACAGTTCACCTGCATTAAGAGCTTAAAGGTTGCCAGAGAGAGCCTCCCAACAGTGTCCTGTCTTTCCACGCCGACTGGAACATCTTGGGTGGCCGTGAGCTCTGAGATTGTGCTTCGAGGTATAGTAGTGCTGCTGTGGATGCTTGGGTAGGGGTGCCCGTTTCCAGCGTAGTGGTTTGGTTTCCTCTGGCCACTCTTCCTAACCCAGGTTTGCCGAGTGTTACCAGTGGCAGATTTCGAGACTTTATTGGTTTAGCCCTTATGCCATTTGCATAACTCATTGATAAAGCTGGGTCATCTCCTATAAAGGCACAAGCATTCTGCACAGCAAGGGATGCGGACTGGTCTCTGCTGGATTGAGCCCTTGGCTTGGTCATCGGTGCCTAAGACCAGGGAATGATGATGCTGTTGCTTATGTGTCAGCGTGCTGTGTAGAGCCTCTGAAGTGGAGAACAGTGTGGTACAAGTGGAAAGAACACTGGTTCTGGAGTCAGGTTCTGGGTTCAAATCCTTCTGATCTCTTGCCTGTGTCACTTATTAGCCTCCCTAGGCCTCTGTTTCCTCATCTGTAAAATAGTTCTGATTGGTCTCTTCTAGCTCTGGGTCTGTTGTGATCCTGTGACTATTTTCAAAATAAAGCTGAAGACCTGTGAATAGTTTATCAACATTTTAAAAGGTGGTGATGACACTTGAGAAGCCCACTCTGAAAGGTTTGTGATTTTGGCTAATACAACATTCTGTGCATTGCCCTCTGTGGTTCTTCTCTGTATTTTCTCCTGTATCTTCCATAGTGAGCTTACCTAATCTGTAGTCTTTATGACTTTGGGGACACTAATGAACGTGCCCCTGCGTAACCAGGCTGCCCTTCCCAGCCAGCTGCAGGCGCCTTAGTTCTTGTGCCACGTGCAGTGGGCGTGTTGGTGAAGTGCTTTTGCCTACTCGGCGTCCTTGTATCGCTCTTGAACTGTTCATCATTTTTGTTCCTCTGAGAGCTTGGTGCGCTGTGATCTTCAGTCCCAGAACTTCCCTGGGCTTTTACATGAGAATGCAATTTGGGCTCAGTTGAAAAACACTGCTTAGTTTCCCAGCTTCAGTCTAGGGTCTTTTTTCTCCTGGTGGAGCAGTGGCCCTTAAGAGGAGGGTGTGGAAAAGGTCCCCCACCAAGCTTTAGATAACAGCCTTTATCATGGTCTGGGATTTTGGATGTCTTAGACTGGCTGCCAGCCTTCTATAGCCAAACTGACCTCATTGAATGAGTTCTTTTATTTTGGGTCTGTAGGTGTGCTCTTGGACCGTGAACTACTGAGGCAGCTGTGAAAGAATTTTTGTTTGTAGGGATTATCTGCTCAGGTCAGTGTGATTAGGCTGACTAATCTGTATTGATTGACAAAAGTAATCGGTAGTTCATTGAATGTCTTCTGTATTTGCTGCTAAAACTGAGCAAACTGCTTACAGCCATTCTCAGGAGCTTTTTGGGAGCATAAAACTTGTCTGGGGGGAAATCCTAGAGCTCTGGGTCCTTTTATTACATATTAAAGCATGGCTCTTCAGTAAGGTTCTAGCCACGAGATTTGCCATCTGTGATTCAGTCAGCAATCGCAGGGAAGCAGATGGGTAGTTGGCCCCCTCACCCAGGAATTATCTCCAAATGACCAAAGCTAGTACGTGCCACTAATTCATCTGACGCTACCAAAGGCCTTAGGTAGGCTGAGAGGAGGGTGTAGAACGTTCTGGTCTCCTTTCCAGCTCTTAGCTCTCCTTACCTGGCAAATGCAGTGGAATGTAAATGTTTCGTGACTGACTGATTTTTGCCTCTGGCATATATCACGTGGAAGCAAGATGCAAGTTTCTTCCAGCAGCTTTTTGCTTTGGGCATTTCTTCTCATTTTGAAAGGAAGACGTCTAGTCTTCTAGTTATTTCTCACTTCCCTTCTTAATCTTATTCATTTCATCCAATAGAAATCTTCTGTTTTCTCTTCACCCCTGTCTTGAGCCATGAATTTTGTTTGTTTTGTTTTTGGCTAGGCAGTGGGGTTGAGTGACTTGCCCAGGGTCACACAGCTAGTAAGTGTTATGTGTCTGAGGCTGAATTTGAACTCAGGTCCTCCTGAATCCAGGGCTGGTGCTCTATCCACTGCGCCATCTAGCTGCCTCTTTAGCCATGA